AAAGGAAGCAAGGAAGCAAGGAAGCAAGGAAGCAAGGAAGCATGGAAGCAAAGAAGCAAGAAAGCTAGGAAGGAAAGAAGGAAGGAAGGATAGAAGGAATGAACCCACACTCACTCAATTTGGTCATGATTTTTCCATTTCAGACCACGTGTCATTACCTTGAGTATTGTTTCTTTGTCTAAAAGAAACGCTTAAGAAGATTCTTATTCTCTGGAGGATGACACATGGTCTAAAATGGGAAAACACAACGCCAATACAAGCTGAATAGGTCTATTGGGAGGATACCAACTGTTTGATGTTACTATTTCTAGGTTGTCATGCGGGTGGAGTCCGATGAACACATTTTCAAGTTCGTAAAAGCCAAGTTAGGTTTTGACATCGGAAGGTCAGTGTAAAGGTCAAGCCTTACTAATTGGCACGTGGATGAGAAGCATACACTCTCAAATGGCTTCCGCGTTCAAGGATGTAATTGGATAGTTTGCGTTTTCTTGCGTTATGATTGGCCTAAGCTTGAAACCATTTGAGAAACAGGGTACCGAATACTACTTGAACTCTGCGCGAATTTGTGCGCCCTTTTCCTGCTTGCATGTGCGCGTGTAGTTTCTCAGGACTCTTTATTTTATACCATTCCTCAGTAGAGCCAAAATTCCTTCCATCCTTAGCAAATACCATAAGGAATAAGACAACGCATCGATAAATCTCTATTGCTCGTCTTTTTAGGGATTTCGATGGATTGCTGTATCTTTGCGAAGCTGCTTTTCAAATGTTGCCCTTGGATACGTACCCTAGACTCACTAAAGGCGTTGTCTTTCCTTGTTACATCATATCTCTGGTTATTGTGCTGCAAATTCTGGCCTATACTGTTTTCTCTAACTGGAGGTAAGGATTGTAACCAAGAATCTTCTTTTTCATTACCAGGCAATAGAATGATCTCAGAAACCGTGTCTGCAAAATCCTACAAACTCATTATTTTATTACTATATTTATTTATTTATTCTGTGGCGTCTGCTTTTTCCCAAGCAAAAATGATGACGACAAAGATAAAATTACGAAAGCCCCAAAGTCCGCCCTCCCCTCCCTGGATCTGAATGATCAGCCAGAATTGGTCTACAACACTATCCAGACTGTTCTCTTTGGTATCATGGCCGTATCGACTCTACGCTTCAAGTTTCTGTGGACACCACACATGTGTATGTATGCGGCTGGCGTGTTCTGTCATCAAGGATTCTGGAGATTCCTCATGAGCAAGATTGGTATTAAACCAGCTATTGTAAGTGTTACTATGGAAACACTCGCTTTTGTCTTTCCTATGCCTCCTTGTTTCAAATACTTTCATTCTAAAAACTAAGATTGATGATTTATGAAGATTTTTTTTTTCAACAGAATAAAGTACTGAGTCACTCCGTACCTGCAATCTTGATAGCCTTACTGCTCAGCCTGGTAGGGAATAATTTCTTTTTAATAACACTAACTTATACTTGTGGTGCAACAACATGACTCAAAATCCCTCGAGATATAAATAACAATGAATCAGCCGCCATGTTGGTTGATCTAACAAGAGAAGCTATAGTCAACCAACATGGCGGCTATGACGTAATGCAACCCAAGAATTGTTAAATTTGTCCAACTAAACCTACGACCGCTAAGACCTTGAACGAGAGAGTCTGCCACCATTGTCTATCGATGAATACTTAGTAGATTAAGGATTTAGGATCATTTAAGTTACTAATTGTTTTTCAGCGACTACCCAAAGCTCTTCAGGAGCTCGCAGAACTGAAGGAGTTCCACGATCCCGATACAGTACAGCTGATGAACTGGATAAGGTATATTAGATAAGGTTTAGTCCCTTTGCATCTCAGAAAGACAAGCGATAGACTGGTATCAATCAAGATGATATCACTATTCATCCAATCAATTGCAAAGACACTAACACTGCACGGCACGGTATATTTTCACAGTCATACAACGTCTGCTCTATTAAAGTAGCAGTAGTTCACTGGCCTGAAATCAAGATAAAATTACACAAATCAAGCTCCACAACAGTAACTCCCTTTCAACTTATACTCCAACCACAGCACACGCTGCGAGTTATTCATCCCCTATCGACTTAGATTAGCCCAAGATCTTGATACTCGAACTAGCTTGTAAATAATGTTTTGTGTTTGATGTGATTGACATGCCGCAGAGCTGAAACACCCCCTGGTTCATCATTTACTGGCAGCATGCAGCTTCTGGCTGCTGTGAAGCTGTGTACGGACAGACACATCACCAACCATCCTCATTATGAGAACAAGTTCCTCAGGGAGAGAACAAAACAGGTAAAGTTTTCTATACTTTGCTTTAATGCGTTCATGAACACCAGTGTCTCACCGAAAACGCATCGAAAGCTCAGCATCAACACTTGCGTTTTCATAGCGTTCGCACTAGAACGATCAAAAACGCAGATACGACACCATCATCTGCGCATGCAGGAAAGAAAAAACAGATATACCGGTGTGAATGACGTCAGCGTTTTCAAAAGCCTCCGTTTTCGCCGGTCCACACTAATGCGATACTACAATAGGCCTCTGTTTTCAAACGTCTCCACTCTGGGGAGTCTTTTCAAATGCATGCGTTTTCGATCGTTTTAGTGTGCCGGACGTAAGGTCAATACGCATGAACTAGGCCTTGATTTAATTGGCTGTGGTAACATGAGCTTTGAATTCACTTTACTGACGTTTCACTGCAGGTTTATCAAGTTTACGCACGCAGAAAACCACAGGAAGCCCACTCAATACTGAAGAAACACGGCGCCGACTACGTCATATTGGAAAACAGCATATGCTTCTCCCGTCAGCCTTCAGGCTGCAAACTCAAAGATATTTTAGACATGGATAATGGTCACGTGATTGAAGGTGGCCAACCAGAGCCAGGCTTGACATTTACTAACGTTCCTCGTTTTTGTGAAGCCATAAAATACGATCAAAAGAATTTTGCTCGATACTTTAGGAAGGTTTTTGAGAACCGAACTTTCTATTTGTATAAAGTGTTATGACGGCTGTTGTAAACGTCTGCGGCCTGTATATTAGCTAGCCATACTAGTTTTGGTGCGTAGTGGGTTTCTATATTTTAGAGAATAGCAAAATGCTCAGTAATGTAAAGAAAACATGAAAACGTTTGCGCAACACGAAGAGAGTAATAAGTAAGGCAGTAATAAACGTATAATAATAGTTTCACTGGGTGCTTGACTCTTAATCGCCCTTTCTTCCTGTCTAAACTTTCTTCCAAAAATTGTAATTTCTATTTGGTTCTTGGTGAGACACCCTCCCTCAACCTCTAGTTTGTTAGAATTATAACTATAAATAAATATAATTTGCAGAACAGTATTAATTTCTTTTCTAATACAAAGTCTATTTAAATAAAGAAATATCATTTGTTCGTCAATTACCCCTTCCATGTACCTGGTTTTCCCTTCAAAAGCACCGACAAGGTAGCGCATTTATTGTTGAAAATGCTAACATTACTCGAAGTAGTCTTGGTTTTTATAGAGGGAGGGATATCCCTTTCTAGTAGTACCTTTTCTCCCACATATTGCTCTTGCTGTAAAAACTCTAAATGTTGCTATCTCAATAATTTTGTTCCAGTGTTTTAAATTCAAAGACCATTTGACCTGCGTCTGAGATCCGTGCCTCGGTACGCGTACCCTCGTCCCCACGCCTCCTCTATCGTCATAGCCGCGTAGTCCTCAGTTTGACAGCTGTACTATTTATATTTCATCGTTTAGTATTTTTGAGAGAATTACACGGATTTTGAGAGTAAATCTGACTATGATCCTTAATAATCGTTAAGAGTCGATCATAAATCATCGTTTGTGTATATCTCTAGTCTTATCAGTATTATTTTCGCTCCATATTTCGCAAGAGCGATAAAACTTCGAGTCCATATGAAGATTGAAGACAAAATGGCTGACGATGTTCAAGACACAGAAATGACTGAAGATGTTGACTTTGTACCTGAATATCACAACGAATCCTGCTGCTTATCTATTACTAATGTACCTAGCACTGTGTTTGAAAACCAAGATTTAAAGGTGAGCTCTTGAAAAGCGATGAATATTTGAGTTTGTTTTGTGTGGCATGTCTGACAGTCGATCAGTCAACAAATCTTGCACGACTGATATTAAAATACCTCATTACCCTTTTCTCTCATAACACGATACTCGTAGTTATATGTCCCCTCAAAATTACTACTATTACAATAAAATATTCTATTACACCATATTAATTAAAATTAGCTTACTTTGATATCTTGTCGCTTTTATGACGCTTTTCCAGGTCGAGTTCAACCAGCTGTTCCTGGCATTTGATGAAGCAGCTACAGTATCATACTTTAAGAGCTTCCGTCGTGTCAGAGTTACGTTTAGTAGCAGTGAACTTGCTAGTGAAGCAAAGCTTGTTCTGCATGGATGTAAATATAGAGGGACTGAACTAGGGGTCTACTTTGTACAGGTAAATTGTCTCTGCCTATATGTAAGCTCTCTTATATTCTATTGAGAACTGTACCTGCAACTGTACTATGCCATTTACCACTTTTTATGCACTATTCTAAAAGAAAGCTTACTAGCAATCCCGAATTTACTTGACTGACCATGAAACAGTGGTTTGAAGTTGAGACTGAACTTGATTCTTTTATTCATCAAGTTCAACCTCGACTTGAAACCATTGTTTTGTGACCAGTCAAGCGAATTCAGGATAGGTCTATTAAAATATTCAATTGCCCTATTTCACTATGAYGTCACTGCTTGTTTATGTGGGGGATAGAATTGCCAACTCCAATAGAAAATTCAACAAAATTTGCTCCTGTCGAAACCGGTTTAATCTAATAAAATGGCCTGGTTTTCTTCAGATATAATGTGTGTTAATATGTACTAAAAAAATATTCTGAGCATTTGCTGGCTATTCTACTTCTCTTCATGGATTGATATGGGTTTTAGAACAATTTTCGGTGAATTTGCGTTGATTTGACCCCCTCCGACGACCATGATCCTTTGCGTTTAAGCAATAGATTGTTTTGATGTGACGTCATAGTGAAATAGGACAATTGCTAGTAAACTTTCTTCTAAATATTTTGAAACTAGTTTTGCACTAGAGCAGAATTTTGAATTTATTAGAAAAACTCAGACTATGTTCATACCATGATGCCGCAATCTTGATATTGATGCATCACACATTCTGATTGGATCAATGAGAAATGACCAGATGCATGTGATTGGTTTGATATATGTTGTGATGATGTAATGAGGTTAAGGTGCATCACCATGACAACCTTACCTTTAAAGGAATCAAGGGTAGCATAGCATTAGTACATGTACACACACTCTCACACCTCTGGGTTGGTCTTGGAATCAATTCCTAAACTTGGCATCAAGGGTGGATCCAGGAATATGAAAAAAAGGGAGAGCTGGAAAAAGTTTAGTTAGACTTTGAGTTAGACGGCTATGCAAAATAAAACCAGACAAGATCTCAGAGGGCATATAAAGTTGCAAGGGAATTTTGAAAAATAAGATGATTTTCAGAAATCTTATTTCCTACATTCTGGGGYGGGTATCTAAATCTGCCCATTAGCATCACAAGCCTCTCCTTTGATTCAGGGCTTGTTCTCCAGTTGTCCTTCTTCTACAAAACCCAATCACCTAAATCCAATTTGACCTGCGAGTTAGCCGTGCCCTGACGTAGATCGACCTAAAGGTTGTTTCAAAGTTCAAAACAATTTTAAAAGTTTGACGATAATTATGTCTTCTTTGTATCAGAGTAATCCATGTTCATCTAGTGGTGAATCATCGCAGCTTAAACCTCCTCCCTTAACAAAGCAGTTTCTCATATCTCCACCACCATCTCCTCCAGTTGGCTGGGAACAAACACATGAAGCAAGTCCTATAATCAATTACGACCTACTTACGGCAGTAGCAGCCCTAGACAAATCTGAGCCATATGAGTTGCACCCCCCTGATACCGATGCTCCTAGTATTGTTGTTCATTTGTGTGATGAGGAGGAGGAAGTTGAAGTTATGGATGAAGATGGAGAGAAACCATTCCATCCATTGAAATGCTTACCAAGAGAAGCTGTACAGACACGCCGACCCAATAATTATAGCTAATGATATAATTGTCATAGATTTTGATGTATATTGCAGAATACTAGTGTAACATCCTGTTACAAGACTTATAAAACATACAGAGTTCTTAACAGGATGGATTGAATTTTGAAGTTATTTAAACTCATCTCAAAAATTTAGAGGCTTCCAATTGAAACTTCATGGTTAGGAATGGCTACAGCCTAGAGATGTCTGAAAGATCTTACCATTGTCTTAAAAGACTTGCCAGTTATGGTATTCTTCGATTGCACATTACGTCATTGCGGCCATGTTGTTGCCATTTGAAAAAAAGATTTCTCATTAGCATCAGTTGTTAATAGCACCACAATGGCTGCCATGTTTTTGTCTTTTGACTCCCTTGAGAATGCTTGCAACCCATCAGTACCAATAAAAAAAATCTTAGCAAAGTTACTGTTGTTAGCAGTGAATATTTTATGTGAATGAATGTGAATATTATATGATAACTTGTTAAAACTACTGTATTAGAGTACAAATACTAAATGTGTGAAATAGTTATCACTATTTAGTAGTTAATAGCACTAATTAAACAAAAGAAAACAATAGAATAAGCATGAGATAACAGTACTATTTAGTGATATTTATGTTGCACACWTTTAGTGTTTGTACTCTAGTGTTTGCTGGAATCCCAAATATATTAAGGTATAAATTATGAAGCTTCAATGATTTTTGTTTTCACATATCTAGTTCAATAATAAAGTATTTTGACATTAAGGGTGTGAAAAATAATAAAATCCAAAAAATAAATAGATATTTGATTTTGATGGAAGACTTAGGTCAGATTTTAAAAAAAATGGAAAGTAACTAAATATAACAGTAATTCCTTCATTCCTTTTAATCAAATCATGTGCTCTTCTGATGATGAACAAGGTAAGATGCATCACTGGTAGCAGCAAATACAATTTCATGTAATGAATACTCACGACAAAAGCTTTTTTATTGAGGTGGAGTGAAAAAAATGGCAAAAATGACTTTCTTCTACAAATCCCATACTTTCATTCAGATTCCCTTTTCATGATTGAATAATAATGACAATGTATATTCATGTAGCCTGCATTAGTGTCCCACCCCTTGGGTTGCTATGCAGGGAAATTTATGCCGCTGATAGCACAAGATAATAGAGTGTTGGAGGTTCCAGGCTGGCCACACCAGTTGGATTCATAAGACTGCCACTTTACTCCATTATTTCAGTTAACACGATTTCCCTGTTTTCAGAAAAGCAAATAAGTTACGCTAAGAAAATTAAAAGCATCTGCAAGATTCAATTAAACCTTTGAATCATTTATTTGACAGCTGTCGATCAAAATAAATATTTCATAAGAAGTAAGGCTTACCATTGGCTGGTTTATTTTCCATCATTAGTAGATATGTAAACAAAATCAAATTTCTAATGGTCCGAGTTAGTTTTTTGTCATCAACAGAAACCAAAAACCCCAATGTCTTGGGCTGGGCTTTCCAGGCTGTGTTGGTTGCATAATTATGAAAAATGGACAAAAGAGATTTCGTCAAGAGCTTATTTTTTCTTTGCTAATCTTCACAAGGCTGGGCAATACAGGATGCTTACCAACACTACTCCCTCACCCCATGCCCCTCATATTCCCCCATGGATCGCTGTGCTTTTTTTTTTCAATTAAGCAACTTCAAATTCAAGACATCTTTTTATTTGGAAATTTTCACCACTAGTTTAAACATGAGACACCGTGTAGACAGTGCCAAGTGCCAGGTAAAAATAATCATGTTTGTGAACAAGTGTTTTCCATTTAATACTAGATCTATGTGTATAAAATCTTTCTGTGTGTATTTACATAATCACTGATCTTAAGGCTTTTAAGCTTAACAGATCAGATAAATTTTTGGTATAAATTACTACCAGTATAAATCAAATATTCTATAATCATGAATTCACATATTCTATTTGTCAAATATATAACTCATTTCTAGCTCAATGTTACTGGTCCAAATGACCCACAGGCAAGGCAAAGATTTGACCAAATAAGTTCCAATTGTGACAGCCCAGTGTAACTAATAACTCTTTTTGCAATCTCTGTCATTAAGTCATTTTGTTCTAACAACCTAATTAATAAAGTATAATCTTTAGAAGTGCATTTCATGAGTGGGAAACATATGGTACTGACTCTCAGCGGGGACATGGCACAAAATGCCTGAACATTGAAATTATTTCCATTGCAAATCATACCAGGGCTTAAATATCAGCCAGTCAGTTGCCAGTTAAGATTTACTGGCCAAATAATTTTAAGCTTGGTTATACTGGCTCAACATTTTTGATCAAAATGGCACTAGGCAAAGATTGAACCAGTACCTTGTCCAATGACCAGCTATTATTGTAAGCCCTGCATTTGAACACAATATGTAGTTACAGACGTGGTAAGATGTAGTACAGCTAGATTATAATTATGAAATTTGCGATATCGCTTCCCACTCATACAAAAGTTACTCTAATGTACAGAAGAACTAGCAGCCTCTTGGTTTACCCACAAGCCACCAGTCATTCGGGTAGTGGTACTTCTGTAGTTCTATCTTCCCGTGGGGTATAGAGATATTACTATAACCAAACTTAATCTCAGGCATTGGTAAGTTAACCAGTCGAGCTGGAAACATATGGAAGTGTCTGTAATTAACGAAGAAGAGGTACGCCTCCCATCCTGTGCGGTGCATCCATCCACTATTGTAAAAGTCTCTGTAGACCATGATATCTCCCCTAGCTGTATCTCTGGTTACACGATAAAATCCAAACCGATTGGAGTAGTAACATTTGATTCYATATGCTTTGAATTCATTGATGATTTCCTCGTCAGAGTGTTGAATGATTTCATTGTATAAAACACCAAAATCAAAGTCATTATCCCATGGTAGTGGAGCATTATATCGCAGTCCTCCCCAAAGGCTACCAAGAAATAAATAAAACAAATTAAAAATGAGCACTCTATTAAAAAAAGGTTAAATAAATAAAACTTTGTATGATGCACATTACAGGCATGCCATGTCTTAGCATTTTCATTGGCTAAGCAATGATCTTTAATGCAGTGATTCAAAAGCTGTTATCATCCATACCATGACAATGCTGTGACAATTCACGGTCATACAAAGTCTGCTCTCAAATGAACTACCTTATTATAGGAAATTAACACTTCACCCATTTAACGTGAATTTCGAAAATTCACGTTAATTTAGGTTGCAATAATTTCCTTTAACGTTAATTAAAACATACATAATAAAGTTGGATGTTAATTTAAATAACACTATTTTAAATTTTTATCCAAAACTCAAAAATCTCATTAAATAATGTCAAAYGACCTGCAACGACAATGTATCCTCCAAGTCTATCTCACTGTGCTACCATTCATTTACTTGATCCCTACGTTTAGAGGATATTTACTAACTTTAGGTTACCTTATCACGTTAGTCGTATGTTATGCCACGTCAAAGACTGACTTTGCAGCTGTTAATAAAGTTTTGTTTTGATTTGTTGTTTGGCTTATTTGATCACATTAATTTCCTTCCTTTAAGAATCATTAACCCCTTTTCGCATTAATTTCCTTCATTTGAGAGCATTTTCCCCTCTGAATCGCGTTAATTTAAGTCACATGCTATGTGTCCAAGCTTTAATTTCTTTAGGAACTATTATAGTCATCAGCCAATCAAAGGCAATTAAATGTTTCTAAGACACAGCAGTTTTTCACAATATATCTAGATCAACACTAGGCAATGATTGAATTAATATGAATTGTAATCATCTCTTCAAATCACACCACTGGTGAAGGCTGTTGAATTGAATTATTCACAGATTTTCCTGGTGTTTTTATTTTCTTTTTTTATTTTCAAACTTCTTTTTGTGATATTAAAAATTACATGAGTTCAAAACTTCGGCAAATCTATTCTTCCATGAAAATTGAAAAGCTTTTAACCATAACGGAGTGATATTGATGCAGCTGGCTTACTTCTTCACTTTAGATGCAATTGTTCCTGAAATTGTTATAATATTACCATAACAACATGCTGTATGCGCGGCAACCTATTATGCTATAAGAATCCTAGATAGAATAGAATAGAACACCTTTATTTATCCATGATAATGATTAAAGCTTAAAGCTTGTGGGGTCGTGCGTTTACAGCCACATTTACAGATTACAGCCACACAGACCGTGTCAGTGTGAACTGATCTACTGCAGAATTAGAGCACTTTTCAATAAAATCATACAAATTGCTGTTGCGACAAAATAGAATTTTGGTGGATATCAATAAGTGTTTCCTTAATTATTGTAGGAGCCCTTGGAATTATTTCATAACGCTGAGTATTTTATGCATACTATCRGACAATCTAATATTATATTATCGAATTCTTGTCTGATGTAGGCAAAATTAATAAGATTTGAACATTGAAAAAATGAAAGGAAGTTATTACTGAAAGTAAAAGTTTTATCAGCTGTTCTAAACTGTGTCCACAATTTTCATACTGATGAATATAATAATAATAAGAGACTGAAAATCGTTTCTAGATTTAAAGATCACATATTTTTCTTTAGTTAAAGCTGCTAAATGTTTTCTTTTTTTCAATAATTTTCACTATTTTTAAACAAAAGAATCATGATTTTAGCGATTGTGATAACCAGAGGTTGTTTTGATTTGGCTTATTTGTATTTAACTTCGAACTCAAACATCATCAGCAATCGTATAAAAAAAGATTATGAACACGTAGCACTAAGTTAAAAAATCACATTTCTTTTCTCTTTTCGAGTTTGCTAATAAAGCTTAATTAACTTAACCTTATTATTCAAAAACTATTCGAAATGGACTCGAGAGAAGACAATACATGATACATGTATGCAGAAAATAGGGCTGTAAATCAAAATAATTTTTAAAATGCTTAAATAAATTGCTATGAGTATCGCTCAACAATGAAAATTATCCAGTACTATGATGATCAAAGTGGAAAATGTCATTTAATATACCATAGAAATATGCGTACAGCAATAACTGAAGCGCGAATTATGTACAAAAATACTACACGATCGTTTAGCTTTGACTTAACTAAAAACTAGTACGATTAACTGAGAGTGTTTATCATTTATATGACAACGTATTTAAGTTCTAGAAGTGGTTTTTACTAACCTTCCATAGGCAAGAAAATGATGAATGCCCAACTTGTTCAACACGGTGCTTGTATCTCTCGTTAGTGCCAGCAAATCGTCCATATTTTTCTTCGGAGTCATACACGGTTCATTTGTGTTTCTGCTATACCAAGCGAAGTTATGAAGGCTTATCTTGTAGTAAATAACTGATATAACAACGAAGGTTAAGATCGAGACGGAAACACGGCATATAATCGGGGGTTTGTTTGTCCTGTTGGTCAATCGTTGATTTCGCCACATCTTTATACCAAAAATCCTTTTGAAGGAATGTCCAGGCAAAATAAGATTCTCTTGACCTCGAGCAATTGTAAAGGACCGTTTTGGAGCACTTGCGATGCTACTACAGCCCGTAAATTATTAGTAAAGACATCGTATTTTGAATACGGGCCGGACGTAAAACAAACAATGTCTCCTCACCAAACACAACGAAGAAAGGGCAGAAGGAAAGCGATCTGTCGCTCACCAGGGAATAATCGAGAGACTTCCGAAACTTTAACGAACATAGTCGGGAAATTATGGGGTCGTTATAATCGAGGACTAGACTATAGGGAAAAAGTTCAGGAATAACTCAACCTTATTCAATCTCCGAGGAATAAAGGATGCGTAAACTTTTAGACAGGATTTCTTTTCTTTTCTTTTGGATTAGAACACTTCTCCATGTAAGACGAGGGATTTCCGAACTTTAACGAAGGCAGTCGGGCAATCATCGGAACATCTAAAAGGAAAGTATTTGTTCCCAAATCAATCAACATGAAGAAAAAATAATGGCTGAATCGAAATGGTTCACAAAATCTTTAGGAAAGCCTACAATTAAAAAAAAAAAAGGAATGGGAAATGTTGAAAAAGCTGTAAAAAGCTTTAGGAAAATTAGGTCATTAAAATCGGGAATATTCCAGAGTTCCCTGGCTTACTCAAGTTACAAATGCCTTCATAAGCACAAAGATATCTACTCTTTAATAAAATCCACTTATTTACAAATCGTTCCTTAAATGGTTACTTATAAAACAAAACAAACAATTTCTTCTCTAAAGCTCTTTTACAAGTAAAACACTTTATATAATGTACAAACTATTCTAAAAGTGTCCTACATCAATAGGCTTGGCCTCATCATCTTTGACAACGACACTAACTCTCTCTGATAAAATATCGTCCATGTTACCTACAGATTGCGCATCTTTGAGTCGTGCCATGTGATGTCGTTGCTCGGCACTATCGATCAGGGACGTCCTTCTCGTCTGTGCTTCTTCAGGATTATGGCTAAACGACCTTCGTAAGAGATTTGAGTCAGGTTGTGTGCGAAGGAAGTTGCCTGACCCTGGGAAAGTTGAGTTTAGATTGGTGTTGTTGGTAGTAACGTTGCGTCTAAAACTGTGAGATCTTATAGTTGAAGCTACTGTCGAGCCTGCTTTGATTCCTTTCTTGATGGCTTCTTTGATGCTGCGAACAACCTCACGTTTTTCTGCTGTCGTTCTGAAAGGCGAGACGAATATAAGATGGTAAATGATGATCAGAAAAGAAGAGAAATTATGATTATTAGTTGATGATCGTGATGATGATGGTTAATATGTTTGATGGTGATAATGGTGATGATAATGTGTATATCATGAATTCGATGATGATCATGATGATGGTAATGATGATGATGATGGTGATGACGATATGATGATGACGATGGTGTGGTGATGATGATGGAGGTGATGGTGGTGGTGATGATGATGATGGTGGTGGTGATGATGATGATGATGATGGTGGTGGTGGTGATGATGATGATGGTGGTGGTGGTGGTGGTGATGATGATGATGGTGATGGTGGTGATGATGATGGTATGACGATGATGATAGTGGTGATGATGATGATGTGATGATGAGATGATGATGACGATGATGAAAAATAGCAATGTTTAATGCTAGCAATAATCAGTTTCAAGGTAACACTAGAAACCCTTACTTGCTGGCGAATAAATAAGTACATTCTTGTCTTCCCAGCTCTGTTGTGTCGCTAATGTTGACAAGCTCCCAAGATTGTAGAGTTTCTAAACAAAAATATTAGAAGATACACAATGATCAGTCCCTCCTCTCCTCTCCTCTTATTCTATATACACAATAGTGCTTACCATTTGTAGCCCAACAATGATCCCGTAGAACGAGAGACGTCACTGGAATTAACGTTCGAAATTTTACTTCCTCCGATGTTTTTAATGACGTACTCTGTAAATAGTTCAAAAAAAATAAGGCTGTCAAGGAAAGTCATTAAGTGTCATCTTGCCGGCTAGTAGACGTCAGCAAAGAAGAGAAAAGCAAAGAAACCGACATTTTCGTGTCGTCACGCAACGCTCACTCTCCTACGTAGGGGAGTGAGCGTTGCGTGAAAACACTAATGGAGGCTGCATGACTAAGAAACCTACGTAATTGTGATTCTTACTTTTTCCTTTTTCCTCGATTTTACTTCTAGGTGGATCAATATGACAATTTTTTCAAAAACTGCAACAAAGAAAGAATGTTAAATTATAAATAATTGCAATGATAACACAATAAAGATTCTCTTATCAAATAAAAATTTTTAATCTTTATTTTTCGCAAACTTTCAGTATAATATTACTAGATATGATTATTAAAATAAAAATTGTAGGTTAAAAGATGCAAAACCGACGTAAAAAACGTTTTGCGATCCGAAGATCCACTTAATCGACGTCCAGTCCAGTCCATCTATGATCGGTTCCGGATTTTCCAAATTTAAAAAAACCCTTAAAATTCAGAATCTAGAAGCATAAATCAAATTTTAGAGGTTGGACATGTTTTTTCTTTACATTAAGATTGAGCATGCTCTATCAAAAGCTGCAAATTCGACGAAATGTTTTTGCGATCCAAAGTCCAGTCAATCGTCGTCCAGTCCAATTTCGCAGCGCAAAAATCAATTCATTTTTCCCCATATGCAAAGACTGATTTTTATATCTTCAAAGTGAAATATTCATCACCTGAATAAAAAACTAAAAACGGAGATACGATGCAATGTCAGCATCATCTGCACATGCGAAAAACAGAAGTGCAGGTGTGAATGACGTCCGGGTTTTCAAAAGCCTCCATTTTCGCTGTCCACACTAAGACGTTAGGCTTCCGTTTTCAAATGCTTCCACTCTAGAGAGCCTCTTCAAATGTACGCGTTTTCAATCGCTTTAGTGTGCGGGACGCCACGTTAAAACAAAAACATTGTGGACGGGGGACTTTGGAGTACATATAAAGACTGAATCTTCTGGTGAATTGACGGCAAATTATTTTAATATGAACCTATCAAATCTCACCAAATATATGCATAACAGAGTTCTTTTTGCTGACACGTGGAGTCGTAGGATTCTTTAGCTTGAGCGTACCACTACGAGGCTCGTCTGGACAATTCAACCACGTGACCTTCCCATGATGCAATAGTTTATCAATCATGACGTCAGACACCTAACCCAATAACAGATCAATAATTGAGAATTGATTTTACATGCGAATGTTAACATGCAGGTTCAAATATTACCTCAAAGCCGCCGAACTCTTCGACAACTTCATTGAAAAGCGGCGCAAACTTTTCGGTGATTCTTTGCATTTCATTGATGTGTGTGGCGACTTTCTCGACTGCTTCTACTGCATCTGAAAAGTCCACAGGAATCAAGAACATTAGCATATAACGCGCGCGCAAATAAAGATCACAAGATGAGGGTACGAAAAGCTAGTTTCCATGTATTTTTCATACCGAGAAGATTTTGGTATTCTTCTGTCTCCTTATTCAGCAGCTTGAGAATCGTTCTCATCAACAACGGGTAACGAAGAATTCTCTAAAAAATAGTAACAATAAATAAAGAAAAGAAACACACCAGTGCACATATTGCATGCGCATGTCTTAGTGCGCATACTCTGTAACCATGTCTCCTCGGTTGCGCATCTCCCAAAATACAGATAGCCTGGATCCGAGTCAACAACAGCAAAAATTCATACCTGTATAGGTTTGATGAAGTACGATTCAAGAGTTCCCGAATGTTGGTTCTTTGGATTACGAGCATCTAAGAAATTCCGAAGTTCTTGGTTTTGTCCTGTTGACAAAAGAAACAGACATGGGCTCCCTGTATCAAGTGTTCCATGTTGGGCTTTCTGTGTTGTAAGCAGGGCTCTCTGTGTCGTGAACTGGGCTCCCTGTGTTATGTATTTGACACCCAGTGTTGGGTGTTGGGTTCCCTGTGTTTCTTACCAGGCGCCAGCAGTTCTACAACTCTAGAATGACTTGAACAAAAAGCACTGTAAAGTTTGAAATGTTCTGTGTACTGAAGGAATAATTCTCCTATTGCGAGGATCACGTTCTGAAAAAGATAAAGAATCCACCAGATAAGAGACTTGTCATAAACTGACAGCAGAGGGGACCGGAGGTGAGGGGAGGGTGACAAAACATAAGTCCATATAGGGGTCGACGCCTTCAATTGAAGCAGGGGTTGTGCGATTTCTTTTGAAAACCTTGATCTCTCATGCGAATTCTCTAATAGTATTTTAGTATCTCCACATGCACGTTCTGAATCATAGACAAACAAGCAATTATGAATAATACAGATATGTGTATCAACCAATGATAATAAAGATACCTGGAATTGTTGGATTTCATCAAAGTCATCAAAACTAGTCTCTGAGTCGATGATATTTTCAAGCTCCTGCAGAAACTTTTTCTGGAAATCGAGGATCTCTTCAACTGTACTAACCAAAGCTTTGACCTGAAATAACATCATAATGAAATGTGAAAATACCTCAAGGTAATTAACACAAGAGGGGTAGGGAGAGGGGGAGGGTGAAACGAGACGCAGGAGGGTAGGGAGGGGGAGTTATAGGAGACAGGCAGCCCAAGAACAGGTTCCTTTATAATGATGACCTACCTCTGCTTTAGACATGAAGTTTTCATCTTTCAGAGGATCCAAATACCTGTTCAAAAGCAGCTTCAAATCCTTTAAAAAAATGAGAAAAATCCAATTGGATATAAACTTCGAGATTACACTTTTCACATAAAAGAACACAGAGGCTTTGGTGTCTCAGTAATTTGTCCAAGTTTCTCTATATAACTTTACAAGTTACTTTGGTTACTGTCTACCCAATGGCCCCACAGGTACCGCCCCAAATAATAAATAAAAGCCCATGCAGCCTCCCGTTCCCTTCTTATGAATCTATTTTGATTCCCATAGCTGCTGACYAAAATTTTTACGAGGCTCTGAGAATAGAATCGCAGTTACTGGATTCGCGCAAGGAGTACTAAACATTTTCAGTGTTGCACCTTGACGTAAGATCTCTCCGTGTCTACCAGTTCAACTATGACTTTGCGCAGTTTGTGAGCATCTGTTAATTGGATTACGGCTTTGGAGTCGTCTTCTGAATATTCCGTCCGCTGTCTACAAAATATTGTTACTTCCTCTGCTTGCTGGGGAGAAAAATAACATTCTATTATTATCACCATCACCATCACCATCACCATCACCAYCACCATCACCAYCACCATCACCATCACCAYCACCATCACCATCACCAYCACCATCACCACCACCATCACCATCACCATCACCATCACCAYCACCACCACCATCACCATCACCAYCACCATCACCATCACCATCACCACCACCATCACTATCACCATCACCATCACCATCATCCTGCATCAACAACAACAAATAATTGGAGTATTGTCATGCGCAACTAGCTTGAAGTAAGGAAGTCGTGGCCCAAACTCTCTCGTTCTTCAGAATCACCTGGTTACATACGTTATCATCATTGCCATTACCTGCAACAGTTCATCGACTGTTTTGCTCGATCGATCTGGATTCTGCTGGGTGGACGTTGTCTGAATAGAATCTACACTAAACACGCTGCCATCATCACCGTCATCAAAGTCCACTGAGAGTAAAATATAGGATAATTCCGATCAGATACTAGACGATTGAATGCGTGACAAAAGTAAACCCTCACCCCCAGGGATGGGGTGAAATGTCGTAGGTATATACTTACTGAGGGGAGGGGGGACAATCATATCACTCAGGTCTCCATATTCAATATTGTCACTAAAACAAAAACAATAATCAGAACTGGTTAATAATATTTATGGGTTCCAGATTTCTCTCTGTATCTTCCATCGGGTTGTGAGACTGGGTACGAGACACGATTCCAGGACACTCACTGGAACCGAATTCTATTTGGGTGCAATGCTTAACAGTCTTACTCTTTGAGTAGTAATTCTTTCTTTACCTTTCAAATATTTGGTCCTACCTTAGCTTGGGCGGAGGTTTTATCACCAGGCGACTAATGATAGCATCAGAAGTGACTTTGTTGGTCACTGGAGGCTCATCACGTGGTGATCGTAATTCTAATTTTATGCAAGAATCTAAAGGAAATTAAAAGAAACATGTGAGATTAATAAAGGGGTTCCACAGCGGTCACTTCTGGGACCACTTATCAAATCTAATTTGAAATGAGTGGCTACAAAAAAAACAAGAAATGTTGTTTTAGTGTACAGAAGGTGTTCATAGGGATCTGAGATCTCAGTAAAAAATATATAGGTAAATTGCTAGCTTTTAACGTACCTCGTAAAGCCCCTTTTAAATCTCCTAGAGGATCCGCATTGTCTACGTCACCTACTTTGACGTCATTCACAGCTAAAATTTCATCTCCCGCCATTACTCCTTCAATAGAATAGAGATTTAAAAGATATCAGCCGGCTTATCGGATTGATACCCGAAGGCATGGTCACTTTCCAAGATGGCCGACTTATCCTCTGTTGATATTGCCCTACCTTGAACATGAGCTAGACGACCTCTCTCGACATGGTTGACGTAAAGACCTCCCTTCTTGCTTGCAACAGAAATACCTAAGTTGAGCAAATCAATTAACATTGCATCAATGTTTAGGCAATCCAACACTCTTTGTAGTGAAACCACGTCCACAATAACATCCACGTAACACCACTCACAGCGCAATAAAACCACGCACCATTCGAACGCATTAGAATTAACTGCATTCCACCCTTATTCCTAGATTCATAATAGGTGTTTATAGTCATGACTACTCCAGCTTACCGAAGTCCAGTCCATCTGCTTCAAGGGATTTCGTCAGTTCAACTTGATAAACACATCTTGAACACAACTTTAATAAAGTATATTCCTAAAGGAAATGATAACAAAACCTTGTTACTAACTATGACCTAGAGATGTAATCATTTGCCTAAATACGAGAAAACACACACACAAAAAGAATCTAAAACTTATACACGGACTCCCTGTGGCTGCTTACCTGATCCTCGAGTAAAGCATCTTGCTTTGGAATGAAGTATTCTGAAATGTCCAAATAATATCGTTTTAGTGAGTATGATGTGGAAGTGACTGGAGCAGGGTAGGAGGAATATCTTTTGGTATTGAAGAAGGAGGGAAGACTAGGAACGCGTCATAGAGAGCCCATTTCCAATAAACCAATATCAGTAAGCAAGGGAATAATACTAAAGGCAAAGGCACATAGCTTGTACCTGAGGATCYATCAGCTTCCTGTATTCCTAGTTTCAAGAAATATGCACGTGATTCTAACTGTCTCTTCTCGCACGTGTTCACCACAACATCGTCTACTGTCATATGATCCTTAAGAGCAATGACTGTGCTTTGGTTGCTAGGTAGACTGATCCTCAAGTATTTGCCGAGGCTTTTCCAGTCTGAGTGGCTGGAACTTAGTGACCTTGACTCGCTTTCGTCTTCCTCGAGTGTGTCAGGTATGTTGTCTAGATTGGATCTAAAAGGAACATCAACCAACATGAGAAAAGTGGGTCAATTTTGCGCACGGTTTTATAAGATAGGGCTGTAACAGTGCAGAATTTCAGCAATCTTGAAGGCCTTTCATCATTTTCATCATGCTCAGTAAACTACTTGACCTCACGCGCTCCATGAAGACACTTGCGCGCAGAGCATCATGGACTCCAAAGCACGCAAATCATCATGGACTTCAAAGCATGCAAAGCATCACGGACTCTAGAGTGCGCAAAGCATTATGGACTCCAGAGCATGCAAAGCATCATGGACTCCAGAGCATGCAAAGCATCATGGACTCCANAGCATGCAAAGCATCATGGACTCCAGAGCATGCAAAGCATCATGGACTCCAGAGCATGCAAAGCATCATGGACTTCAGAGCATGCAAAGCATCATGGACTCCAGAGCATGCAAAGCATCATGGACTCCAGAGCATGCAAAGCAGCATGGACTCCAGAGCATGCAAAGCAGCATGGACTCCAGAGCATGCAAAGCATCATGGACTCCAGAGCATGCAAAGCAGCATGGACTCCAGAGCATGCAAAGCATCATGGACTCCAGAGCATGCATAGCAGCATGGACTCCTAAGCACGCAAAGGATTATGGTCTTACAGGATGGATACAAACCTCTTTAGTTTTGCGCCTCCTTTGGCAGTATTTTTCGATGAATATCGATCTCGTATTGACTTCACACTGSCTGCGTCATTGATTCTCAACGAGGTAAAGATCGCGCTTTTGATCTTGCCGACGCTACTTGGGTTCCGTTTTGCTTTATTCCTTGCTTTCACTTCTTCTTCTGTAAATAAATAATTAAACTTGATACATAAACAAACACTGTCCATACCTTTACATAAGGTCATACACGCACTTTCTAGTGTCTTGTGCTCGCAGAAATCGACCAAATCTCTAAATCATTGAAACTTTAATGTTATGGAATTATTGGGCTTATCTAATTTAGATCAAAGCACGGCTAGCTGACAGATCGAATTGCAATTTACCATGTTGAGTCTTGTAGAGGGAGGAGAAAAGCAATGAATATTAAAAAGAAAAGRCATATAAAGTTATATTTTGAAGAACCTTTTACTCAATCAAATTCAACAAAGTTACCTGTTGATGGATCCCTGGCACTCACAAAAGCATGAAACGACATGACGGAGAAYGTTCCCAAACGCGAAAGACTTTGTTTGGTAGTCCTAGCAACGCATGCTAATAATGTTTGAGGGTTGGGAAGAGGTGTTCCTTTAACCGCTGACATGTAGCATTGCAGTCGATACAAAGATATGTTCAACTTCTCGAGATTTTGCTCCCATCTAGAAATCTAAAAAACACAATAGAATATTCCACAGTTTGTTCATACTGATATCTAACTTTTTTATCTGTTTATCGTGTATATAATTGGATGCGCAAAATTATGCCTCATCAGTATTCATGTACAGCAGTTTACCATGTGTGCGCATGCCTAAAATAATACCCATGTGTATCAGTATTCATGTACAGCAGTTTA